TACAAAATATTATTTAGAAATTTCAAGTAAATATTTTAGGCGGCTAAATAATAATATTGTGTAAACTAAAAAGAGTTGTTTGCTTAATTTTTGTATTTGTGTCTGTATCATTATTATTGCTATAATACATTTAAAAAATAGACCGTATTAGCTAGTATCACAAATATAATGGCTGACCACTAATTAAAATAGTCTGTTAGTTGAGGGGAGTTTGTGGTGGGGGTGGTCTGTCTGTACATGTGCCCTCCCCTCACAGATGGGCCACACCAACCTTCTGTTCCAGCAGGGATCCCAACAGATCCGAGCTCCCAACAAATAATGAGAGAGAGAGAGAGAGAGAGACGGGTAGAAAAAGAGGAACAGAAAGAGCAAATTAAAGCGAGTGGGAAGGATGGGAACTGTGATATCGTGGAGGATGAGGTGAGGAGAGATGTGAAGGGACAGAAAAGCAGACTCGAGTCAGTAGCTAAGTGCCTTGTGACCAGAATGAAACAGAAAGAGTAAAGAAGAAAAGGAGGTTTTTTTTTAATTCTGCAATATTACATTAAATAGATAATTTGATCATTGATAATACATTGACAGAAATATTTTGTAACATTAATAATTTTCTATTTAAAATAAATGCTGTTCTTTTGAGCTTTCTATTCATCAAATAATCCTGAAAAATGTGTCATGGTTTCCACAAAAATTAACTTATAATAAAAATTAACTTGATAATAATATGAAGTGTTTCTTTAGCAGACAACCACCAGCATATTAGAATGATTTCAGAAGGATCACTGAAAAACGGAGTAATGGCTGGAATACATTTTCAAATATATTAAAATGGAAAACAATTACTTTAAATTGCAACAAATATTTCACAAATTGTAACAAATTATTTCTGATCAAATAAATGTAGAAACTCATTTAAAAATCTTACCAACCCCGAACTTTTGATCGGTAGTATAAGTGTCCAAATACTTTTTGGGGCCACGATAGGTGGCTTAGGGTTAGTTGGTGGTGATTGATCCGAGAAGACAGCGGAATGTGGCGCCAAACGGGGATGCACTTGTTGTGGACCCTTGTCTCTTTGCCACTCAGCTGTGGCGGTCACACCAACAGGTGCTGAGACGCTTCCCTCTGTCTGATCTTTAGTATGACTGCACTCTGATCAGCCAAGCTGAAAGTGAGTCCCATACGTTCCACCCACAGTCCATGCACTGACCGCCTGAGGCATTTTGTGCACGAGACCTGGCTGAGATGGCCAGTTCCGATCTGATTGGCTGGTGCCACGCAACTTTCCTGAGGTCAAGAGTGCACCAGCCCACCTGGAAATGAACATGAGTTTTATTAGCTGTTTTCAATGGAGAACTAATAACTAGATTTATTAGTCTGACAGATGAGAGAAAGCAAATTTTTGGGAAATGTTAAAATATCTAATAGAAGGTAACTAGGATAGAGCGAAGTGTATAGTCTTCCATATTTTTACTACAGAACATAAAAGAAGATACTTTGAGAAAAGTTGTCAAATTGGTTATCAACATTCTTCAAAATATGTTCTTTTGAGTTCTGCAAACAACAAGGTTAAATTGTGACAATTTGCATTTTGGGTGAACTGTCTCTTTAATGACTTCAAGATCAGTTGTGATTGGTCATTTGTCATTCAGACAGAGCTTTCCTAAAAAGTGGGCAGCTCTTGGCTAGATTGAGGTTGAAAAGATTTAATGCTGATTGAGTTGTGAAACTATTGTCCTGCGTTAAAGTGGCGAATGACAAGTCTACACCATGTGAACGAGTCGAGTTGCTTTGTAAAGATCACTTGGTCGGATCTGAGCGTGAGCTGTAATTATGATCAGTCTTTCAAGCTTGGCCTTATTCTTGGATTGTGTTCCAGGCTGGTATCAGTCTCTCAATCCCTGTCCTTAACCCAAGAGAGCGACTGATGGTATTTATAGAGCGCTGCTTTTGAAAAGGGAGTCAAGCGGGAGTGGAAATGCAGAACTCGCTCATGCAGTGCGTGTCTGATTATGAAGAGATAATTCTCCCTGCACAAACTAAGTTCTCTCTTTCTCTCCATCTCTCTCTCCATCTCTCTCTCTCAGCCCTCTGTCTGACCCCATTAAGCAACTGCTTTCCAGTGTTTTTTATACTTCACTTCCTTGCTTTTGTTTTTGTTCTGACAATATGAATTATGTCTTTAATTCATCTGATATGATTTATCCTACTGTTTTTTGAGGTTTAGGTTCTGTATCCTGCTGATTTTTTTTTTTAAACCTAGATATCAACACCTCATGTCATTTTTTAAAGGTGGTGTAAATTTCATAAAATATTATGCTTTATGATACTGATATTGGTTAATTAAAACTAATTAAGTGATTTGTGTCCGCAATATTATTTATCAATATTTTTGTTATTCATACTTGTCAACTTAAATGATTTTTTGTAGCATGTTTTAAGTATAAGAGTGCAGGTTTGGAGATATAATGTCCACCAAAAGGCAAAATAAACACACACACACACACACACACACACACACAGAAACACACATAAGATTATATTTAATTATTTATTCAGCTAATAAGGAACATAATGGGCATTTAATCTTATAATTATACTTATTTTATATAAAGAAAATGTGATTTGAGTTAGATAGGTCCAAGAGCAGTTAAATACTGTGAAATTTTTCCAGCATGGCCAAGTATCTGACTGTAAACTTTTTGTTTGAAATGACTCCATGGCCAGCTTGTGCTTCTCTTTGAATAATGAGAACAAGAGTTTGTTTTCATTGAGGTAGTTGGTGTGTTATATAACTGGTATTTTTCCAGCCTTCATTGCCTGAGGGGTGAGAGAGTGACAGAGAGAGAGAGAAGGATGCCTGATCAAGCTGTGTGGAGTTTTGGACTCTGCTTTACGGCTCTTTGACGTCATAGATCAGGATGTTCAGCTGCTGCTGTAAAGATGTTTTCATGTCATCCTCGCCCTCTTGAAGCCCGTAGCTTAGAGTTTGTACACCAAACAAAAGCCGTCTCACGAGAAGGAGGAGGAGAGTGAGAGCACTCTTTCTTCCCCCCTCTCTCGTGCTCTCACTGCTGGTAGCTGGAGGTGAGAGTGACAGCGGGGTAAGGAGGGAAATAGTTAATCAATAGCCACAAGGTCAGACAGGCTAGTCTCTGGTTTGAACGTTCCCTGTTAGTGGGTTTGGGGCAGAGGATTTGTAGCGCTTGTAAAGGCTTAAAGAAACACTCAGCAGTTATTTGTGGTGGTGGTGATGATCAGGGTGGCAGGACTGCAGTGTGTGTGAGAGAGAGACACCTGCTGGCCTTTGACTGTCACTGCAACCACACCGACCCAAATCCTGTCGGAGCGTTTTGCCAAATTAGCATTACATTTACTCATTGGCAGACGCATATATCTTGAGCGATTCCCATTGCATAAAAAACATCAGCTCACATGTTTTCTATGTCCTTGCTGTTTCTAGTGCTGTGCTTTATAGTGTAAACAAATTCTTTATCCATATTTTATTGTTTTCCAGTGTGTATATATATCTGTGAAGAAAAACTGCTTCATATATGACTTGTTTAGTGAGAATATAGTTTTTTTTAGTTGTTTTTTTTCAAGCATGCACTACAATTCAAA